TATTATATTATACTATATTATATTGTGGTATTGCGGTTGCATCATTTGAGTAGCAGCGAGTGTTTACCGACCCTAAGCCACAGGTTGTCGCGTCGAAAAACATTGTTCAGCTCGTGCGCCATGTAGCCGGCATGCACCCAGAAAGCAGGGCGGACAGCCCAGCAGCCAGTCCAAATGTCCGGCAGTTTCTGCAAGGCCTGGTGTCAAATTCGGATCCTTGAAAAGATTGGGATCTTCGGATCTGCCGCTAGCAGAGATATTCTTTTCAGACAAACATAGCACAAGGCCTTGACTTCCAGACTTTCTGCTTGCTGTGAGGATAGGCCAAAGTCCCCGCAGCCGATCTGACCACTTCAGAAATCCCTTAAGCACCAGGCTTGCTCAAGCCTATAAGGCCTACGGGCCTAAACCCTGCAAGGTGTTATCCGACGACGGTCCTCGTCCTGGAGCCGGCCTGGCTTGATTGAGGCCCTCGCTTCGGCCTGCCAGGAGTACTTCGCCCACCGGGGTAGTGCCCTGCCGCTCAAATCCGCAGAGGGTTGTGGAACTACAAGCATTGACTAGCTGGTTTAGCTTCGCGGTTGGGTTTGGGCCTTCGGGTTGCGGAGTGGAATGCAGGCAGGCGTGACCGGGTTGAGTGTACCAAAATTGAGCAAAGGTCAGCTTTGCAGTTCGTGGTGTTTGGACTCGGGCGTAAGCCCGTCAAGGCTCGTTCACATGAGCATGCGTCAAGGCATTCTCTGAAACATGGTCTAAAACCCCACTGGTTTTGACCCGTGCTGTCTTCTCAGCTATGTGGCCTTCCCACCAACCGTGGCTCTTGAACCAGCACACCGCTCAAAGGCATGGTCGTCCGAGCCGGAGACGCATTCCCGGGAGTGCTGGTCATTGCCAAGGGGTCTCTGCGTGTGGAGGCCCTGGGCGATGTTGTTGAACCTGGGCAGAACACATGGTGTGGCTTCGCGGATTCGGGGGACTAACGAAACGTTCGGGCAAAGGGTGTTGGATATTGGCATTGCGTTTTGGAACTTTCGAAGATCAGGACAGGTTGCTGTTTTTTGCCCGCTCGAGTCCCTGTTCTTTTGGGGTCGCTTAGTGGAGCTCTAAACAGTCATATCTTGTCATCAGCACCCTGACGAGACAGTGTCGAGGCTAACAGTGGCGGACCTTCTTTGACAGGAACACTACATGAATCCTCGGTGTGCAATAGGAGCTAGAAGTTCAATTCTTGATCTATCCTACATGACATTGGCACTGCAGCTCATCTGCAGCCGTGCTATGAAGACTTGAAACTCCTCCGCCCCAACATGAACAAGACATCCTCGTTGAAACTGCAGTAGCGTGTGAAGCAAACGAAATCCCAAGAGCCGTCCAAGGAGGGAAAAGGACCCGAGAGGATTCCGGTGGGACAGCTCGGAGAGGGCGACTTCTTCGGAGCCATGGGCTCCCTCCGCAAGGATTTGGGGGGGGGGGGGGTTCGGGGATTGAGTGGTCTCGGGGTGCAGGGTGTTAGGGTTTTGGGTTTAGCGTTTAAGCGTTAAGTGATTTGGGGGTTCAGGGTTTTTAGGGTTTGGGGTTTGGTCTAGGGGTTTGGGCTTGGGGTTTTGGGGGGTTTAGGGGTTCAGGGTTTTCGGGTTCAGGATTGGGGTTGAGTAGGTCAGGGGCTTAGGGGTTCAGGGTTTTTAGGGCTTAGGGTTTATAGGGTTTAAGGGCTAAGTGGTTTAGGGGTTCAGGGGTTTAGGGTTTTAGGGTGGAGGGCTTAGGGTTTGGTTTAGTTTAAGATTCACGGTTTTCTTGCTCCCCGATCGTGCTCAGAGCAAGCCGGAGTGTGTTTTGTGTTGCGACATAGAACAACTCAGCAACCATACTAGCTTTCAGTAGTCTTAGCAATCATCAGAACTGTATCCCACATGGGTTCGGGCTACAAGTTCTCAGAATTGTCGAAGCTCGGTTCTGTTGTTGTGCTTGTCATGGGCTTCGGAATGTGACTGGAGTTACCAAGCTTCAGCCCCTTGCAGCTGTGGTGGAGGTCTGGAACCTATGATAGCTTTCTGGGCCGTTTTGTGTAGAGGCTGCAGTTGCACACGAAGCCCGAGGCTCTGCAGCCACAGTCGGGATTCGGGAGTTGTGATCGGAGGTGATTTGGATCAAAACCTCTTAAGGTCTTGCGGAGGTGCACTCTTTTCCACGCAGAGGACCACGGAATCTCATGGATTTGTGCAGATTTGAAGTCTGCTACTCCTCAGTCTTGGATTTCAATCTCTGCCCGTGTTCAATCGAGATTCAGGATGAGGCATTTCGGCAGGGCGTTTTATTGTCTGGGGCCTGGAGTGCTTACAGCATGTTACGGTACGACGCACCGCTCTCGTCATTTGTAATATATACACATGCACCAGCATTGTCACGATTCTGATATCTTGATGCAGGAGCTGTCGAAGTTCTCCTTCCAGGTGACCTCAAGGTACCTCCGTGGCTTCCTTCTCCCTTCCACAGCAGTGAGCCCAAAGCGGCTGGTCCTTTTATGCGTCTGCATGATCACATCTGCCATGTAAACGATCTCCGGCAGTCAGACAGCCCACTTCAACATCCATCATCTCGCTTTGGCAGAGCAGATTCTAGCAGACAATGGAGACGCATCCCCTCCGCTTGTCGATAGTAAGCATGCTGCAAACTGCAGAGTATTGCAGTGCATGCCAAGGTTGGTTCCCCTGCTGAATGCAGTCTTCGTCCCTGAGGAGCTGGAAGACGACGAGAGGTTCAGCTGCAGCAGCATCATGCAAGGGTAGCATGTATGCTGAACTTTAGGCCCTCACACGCTGCTCACAAGCGAACCACCTGAGCTTTGAACTCTCAAAACCTGCATTGTCCTCAAGACTCCGAGGTTTCAGATGACTTTCTTAGAGGACCTGGCTCGGAGAGTGGCCCTGGCAGAGGAGGATAGGCTAATACCCTCCGACGTGGGGATACGAGTGCCTTGTTCGCATGTGATGGCATTTCAGCGAGTAGGGGATGATTGTGTGATTTGCCAGATTTGGGACTGAAGCTTCAGGTTTCGAACAGAGCCTTCCATTCTGCTTTATTCTGGTCTTGCGTCTCCGCTGTTTCTTGTTCTGAAAGCATTGAGTGTGTGTCATTACATCAGCTTCTATTGCAAAGTTCGTGGTGCCAAGAGGGCAGCAGGAGGCACAGGGCAGGGTCGAGGAATAGCGGAAGCAGGTGACAGATGAATGATGAGAGCTACAGTGAACACGCTGGTCAGCCGGATGCCGCCGTGGATAGTGCTGACCATGGCGATAGCGGTGTGTTACTTAATGAGGATGACGATGGCAATGACTCGACACTTGCAGTGGCAGTAGCTATTGCTTTGACGACGGCAACGACAACGGCGACAGTACAGATCATGATGGAGGTCATGGTTTTGATGATAATGTAATGATGGTGATTATGATTGTGACGCTCTCGATGCTGCTTAGTAGCTGTATCACAACTGAACTTCCTCTGCGACGACGATGGCAAAGAGGATGAGGAGGAGGAGGCGGAGTAGGAGGCGTAGGAGGCGGAGGAGGAGGAGGAGGAGGAGAGAGAGGTACGTAGGCAAAGGGCCAACGATGCCTACAAATGTAAATTCTACAGAGGCCGCAGGTCTCGACGTTAAATCCGAAGCCCGGACAGAGGGAGCACAGCGCGTGGGTGCTTCCGCGCCATCTTAGGAACGCTACCTCATCCCACCGCATCTTCAGCCACTGGGCTCGCCAGTTCCGGCTTCGGGGGTCGTCGGTCCTGAATGAGGTGGTGGAAACCGGAGAGGCCCTTTTGTATGCTTGGGGGTGTAACCTACAGCTTCATCCCAGTTCTTGTGCGGCGTCAAAGTCTCTGGAGACTAAGCCCGTAAGCCCGGAGACTGGGACTTACTCGAAGGCAGGTAGGAGCTTCGGTGTTCGAAGGTTTAGGACGTGAGCATGTTCAGAATGTAGATGACGGTGTTGCTAAGACTGGTCCTTCTTCAATGGTCATCGCTATATCCTGGTTGATACCAGTTGCGGTATCATCTCTGATGCTGGTTTCGGTGTTCTGTGGTTCCTTGAACCAGCATAACAGTCACAACAATGGTCATGGTAACAACAACAACAAGAACAAGATCAACAACAATAGCAAGAACAAGAGCAAGACCAAGAATAAGAACAAGAACAAGAGCACGAATAAGAACAATAACAAGAACAAGAACAATGAC